CAAAATACACTTGTGAAAAGCTTGAAGTCTGGCGATTCTAAAAATATATACTTTCCTGGGTCTATTTATAGTCATTTAGTCACAATTAGAAGATGAAAACAAGTAAGCAAATAATAGTCCCGCTACCTTAAAGAGACAACATGGTAAAGACAAATCACACAATATATTTACAGAATTAAAAAAACAAGCAGCCTATCGGCTGAGACAACTCCGCTGTTAGCAATGCACATTTCAATTAAAGAACTGCAGATATCATTAGAAAATGAACAAATCTGGGAGAGGTCCACATGTAGTACCTATTTGTATAGTATCAAAGAAATCAGACTTTTTAACAAGAAGTCGAAAATACCACTTTTTACCAAAAATGACAAAAATATTTACCAAAATTAAAAAATTAAAGATATCATCACGAAATGAACAAATCTGAGAGAGGTCCACATGTAGTACCTGTATATGCAATATCAAAGCGATCGAACTTTATTTTTTTAACAAGAAGTCAAAAATATCACTTTTCACCAAAATTAGATAATTAAAGATATTATCATGAAATGAACAAATCTGAGAGAGGTCTGCCCAAGGTACATATACACCAAGTATCAAAGCATTCAGGCTTGTAGTTTTCAAAAAGAAGTCATTGACATGGACGACGACGAACAATCACTCATATAATAAGCTCCGCTCGACAAAGTCGACAGCAGAGCTAAAAATAAATAGCGTGATGGTGAATTCAGATTCCATCTGAACATCTCATTAAATTTAAACATGAAGGCAATAACTATGTTTGAATAGTAACAGTAAAAGTAAAGTTATGAAGGTAAGCCTTGCTATGTTATTTGATCCAAATAATTTGTTGATGTATAAAATCATTTATCCTACACATCACGTTGGAATCAAGAACAAAATCTAGGAAAAGTAGTTGGTAGGACAAAATCTACAGGGAAGATAGGGAGGAGAATATTTATCATAATTTTCATACCAGCTATATCTTCTTCTGTGTATAAAGTATCTGATGGATCATAGTCTTTATCTTTCTCATCATCATCATCATCATCATCGTCATCATCATCAATTGATTCGTCACTGTCACTGTCGCTGTCACTGTCACTATCAAGATGTTCCATGTCAGCATTGCTACCATCACTGTTACTCTCTATAACAGTAATCAATATAATACATGTCACAGTTGGTGGCTCGGCTATGATCAGAGACACTAGGCATTTGCTTATCAGTCACAGACAAAAAAATGATCATAACTTTTAAAGTTTCTATATTTGAGGTATCTGGTAGCCCAATGTGCCCTCTAAGCTAATATGATGAGTCACATTTTATACATTATAATGAAATACTGTATTTGCTCTATTAGAAAGGCATCTCCAAGTGAATCCATATAAACAAAAATTGCATTTCTTGTATAATAAATCAGTAAATATTACTCATTTTGACCATTTATATTTTTATGTAAATAAAGTAAGTTTAAAAACAAATCAGTTAATTTATTATATTTAAAATATTTATTATCATACTATGATCTTTATTTTTTCTTGTCGATTATTACTGAATAGTGATTATAATAATGTACAAAAAATAAATTTGTTGAATTGTTATGAAATGCAAGTAAAATTCAACTTAGTTTCATCGTAAGCGAATGATTTCGATCGCACATGAATCTTAATGCGATTCGATATCTGCCATGTTTTTTCCATACACGAGTTAACCTGAAACTATGCTTTTTGATCTGATAGATCAAGTCGCTAATTAACCAATCAAAATGCTGGATGGTGCCAATGTGCATTTAAATTACCATAGCATATTTAAATATTTTAACGACAGTTCAGAGACCTCATGGCGAACACAACACAAAAGAAATTTACTAATGTTGTAGTTCGAACTTTTGGCTTTGATTTTGATGGGGAAAACGGCGGCATGATTTTTTCTTATATTAAAAATTTAGTTGTTTTTGAAGGATAAACTAAGCTTTGAAGAAGAATTTAAGACTTTTTACCCATTCACGCTAACCACAATAAACATCATACTCTAGACTCTAGTGTTCAAAAAATGACGCTTAAATTAGAGATTTTACGATATTCAAATCAAACAGCAACCCAGATTTACCTGCAGTGAGACTGCATATATTATGACATTACTATAAATTAACTACATGTAACATGATTTATTGGAACACATAATAGAATAACCATATGTTACCGTGGCGATCCATCATGCTATCTTCAGCTTCCATATCTTCTACAAAAGATGACCCAGCAGTAGATGGTAGGGACATCATTGGTGGACCAGGAGGAGGACCAGGTGGGGGACCCGGTGGCACTTTACCAGGTGGAACCCCTGGAGGTAAACCCGGTGGTGGCCCTGGTGGCTTTTTACTGCAAAAAAGAATGGCAAAGATGTACATAGTATAACAAGCACTAGAATATATCAGTAATAATATTCAGCATATGAAAGATGGAATAAATTATGACATAGCAAAAAGCAATTTATTTTCATTTTTATGTATTTTCAGTAAAAATATTTAGAAATTTTGAAGCAGTGGGAACTTCACTTTAGCTTTTAAAGACACGAACACATTTTTTTTCAAAGTTGTTATCAATGACATACCGGAGTAGTTCCTGTTTGTATTTAAATGCATTTGATTGGAGAACACAGCAGGAAAAAAAAATAATGTCAAAAAAATTTCATTATGATAAAACAATTTTGCCTTTGTACCAAATTTAAACAAAAACAGTTTAGTGTGTCAGAGAAAAGAGGACAATTAATTAAAAATACTTCCAAAAATGACTGCATATTTTGAATTTCATTGAAATCCAAAAACAGTCAAAAAGTGAAATTTCCAAAGACACATGAAAGTTAAAATCCTGAAAGCTCCTATGTGAATACAAAAAATATGCAATCATTGTTCCAAATAATCAGTGAATGATCAATAGCATTAGAGGTTAGGATCACTATCCAGCAGATGTTTAGCACCAATATATAGCAAATTTGATCAAAATCTGTTCTGAAATTTTTGAGATTTTACTTGCACATGCTGAAATGAGTCATATGCAAATTAACTTAATATATTAGATCATGGCTCCAAAACGTATTATGTTTGCAACCCATGGTGGTGTACTAAATTTACTAAATACACTTACTAAAAAAACTAAATACACTTAGGACTTTGAGATTTTGCTTACACAGACAGATACACCAAACTCAATATCTTTTTCGCAAAAACAAGAGCTAATAAACATGGCTGCTAGTCAACAAAATGACCAGCATCAATGACCCACAATGAGCAAACGTCAATACAAAGTTTGAACCTGAGAAATGCAATTTTGAATCAAATCCCAAAAATCAAATCGCACCGACTGCCACTACATGTTCTATTATTTTACATGTTCACAAGAATTTAATTTAGCGAATTTTACTTATCGTCAAAAATAGCAAAAGTAAAAAGTAGTGAATAATTAATGAGTGTACAGTATGTAATTATGCTCTCAATATTCACATAAGAGAACAGAAGAACTGCTTCGCTTGACACTTCTACAATAAAACATGATCAACAAAGAGTTGTTTGTGATTTGTTTGTTTTTTTAATCACAGGTGTTCTTAAGGAATATCATTTCATGAAAGTCATTATGACTCTCTGTCTTCAAAACCCTAATGAATAATATCCAATGCCAAGTTTCCAGACATAAATATCACAAATTTTTGTCTCACTAAATTACCATAATAATGTTTTTAATTACCTGTACGCTGACTTTTTCTTCAAAATTGATGGTGGTAACGTTGGAATATCACTTGGCAGTGGGATCTGACTTGGAACTGAAAACAACCAGAATTTTTACATCTGAGTCTTGGAACCCAGATTAGGATTAGGATTAAGGGATAATTTAAGACATAATCAAACCACATTGTGTTGATTATGCGAAACACTGAAACCTGTGTTTTCTGCATTTATTCTACAGAGATTTGGGTTTGCTAGTTGTGAGGCTACTATACAAGCAACATTGTTCATCTCACAAGAAGAGGGGGAGAGGCACTAAATCATCAAGAATTTTACAAAGAGAAGCAAAATAGTGGTCAAAATTTACCTTTTTTATCGCAAAATCAACAAAGCACATACTCAATAATCACGAGAGTTTTTTGCACAATCACTTTCCAATTATAAATATTAGCATAATGTTTTTGCTCAATTTTTAACCAGCAAATTTTCAGTTGCCAAACATGTAGAAACGGTTGTGTTGTTCAGTATACTTACTTGATGGCATATTTTGAGGCATATCTGGCAGGGGAATCTCATCAACTTTAACTTGCTGTGCACTTCGGACAGAATCTGTCAACAAAAAAGTCATAAAAAATTTGTTACTTGTACAAGCAAGTGTATCAATCGATGCATAGCGGAAGTCAACATGACTACATACAGCCTGAGTATATAAACATTATTATACATCTTCCCAATCCAACCACAAACATGCCCACAAACATGCTTACCATCTTGCATTTACCAATAAACTAGAACTCAAATGCAATGCAGCAAATTTGTGACACACAGTAACTATGGCGACAAATGCATAATAATATATCATAAAGATTTATTGACTTACCAAAATAAATGCTTTGTTGAACTCTTCTTTTATCATAATCTTTTTCTATGTCTTTCAGCTGATCAAACATTTCTGGATCTTCTTTATACTGGGGAGAAGTCATGAGTTGAAATACAGTTGTTATACGAGGGATATTCCCAAATATGCACAGAACTGTGGTCACATCATCAGGTGTGGCCACACTACTATTATTATTACTTTTTTTTGTCAAAGATGTAAAGTGTTACTGTTTCAAACTCAACGTTTGGCACCTGTAACATATCCATGTTGTTATATGTTATGTACATCCCCAAGTTAACATCCATGAATACTGTAAAATCATTTATTTTTCTTATTTGAGCATATTCACTGGGTTATAATTTGCCAGAAAGCAGTGAGACTGTAGTTATTTTACACATGAATTTAATTTTAAATTAGTAAAATTTACTTATCAGGGAAAATAGCAAACCTAAAACCCAGTGAATAATTAATACATTTACAGGACAATTATAGATGAAGAATACTTACATAAAGCCTCAACACTCTTTCAAATGTTTCTTTCAGTTTTTTCCTTTTATCTTTTAAAACTTTTTCATTTAAAGATGGAGGCTGCTCAAGGTTGAATTCTGGACAAGCAGAACAAAACATTTGTTAAAAAAATAAATTGGTGGCATACAGTGTACTATTTGTTTTCACTCTGTAGTTCAATAGCAGTTTTGTTGATGTATTTTATTGTACAATAATATTGGGATAAAAAACAGAGTATAGTAATAATATGAGGTTATTACGAGAATACCTCAAAATATGCACGAAGACAGTGTGGCTGGAATATCGACCGAAACACAGAACAGGTCGATGCGCGAGGCACTGTCTCAGTGCATAGTTTGAGGTATTCTCATAATAACATTATTGTACATCTTTTCCTTCCAAGGATACACCATGGGAATGCCGAAATCAAAAACGTTTAGAAAAGAATCAGCGAACATCTTTGTGTGGGTCCGGTCAAACCCTGGTGGCCGCCATGTAATCATTCCATATTTGGAATTCGCATTTCCTAATATGGTAGGATGAAAATACCCTGTGAAATACCACAAAATTACGACACGCTGTAACTTATAGCGTTACGGTGACAGATGTATAATAATAAAGATTATTATTACAATATTCTCAACCAGTGGTAGCAGATACTTACCCATTTCATCTAATTTTTCCATTTCTTGAATTAACTGCCTTGGATCTTTTCCTTTCAATACTGCAGCTCTCACCATCTGACGTTGCTTCTTGTTCTTAATAAAAAAGAAGAGCATATTCAATCTGTAGTTTATATCTTTGTTTTTACCCAAATTATTTATACATGCAGGTTATTAAATTAATTTTTATTAATTTTTTGACTATCAAGTTACAGTAATGTAAAGCACATGTAGTACAACACATAGATTTATGAAATCTTCAGAGATGTTTCGTATTTTGATCGTCTTGTGCCTATATAATTAATAAATATACATTGGTAATATGGGTGCATAGAGTAGTTTTGCCATAGAGACATGATAGACAAGGTGTAGGTGAGATCTAACTGGGACTATACAGTTAAGGAGGCATAAATTAGGATTAGGGTGGTAAGAGTTTTTTGATTTAAATCCAATGATTAAATTCATACCAAATTGACAAATCAAATTCATATCGACTTGTTGCTGATTCTTTAAGATTCAAATGTGACTTGCATTGATAATAGTTCAGATGTCACTAATGATCAAGACAGAAGCATCTACACCAGATTGGGTGAAACGTCCATATAGAGAAAGCCGCAGCGTTATGGTTTGAAATACTGTTAGAGTAATTTATCCAAGAAATCATGGTAAAATACTATGGTAGAATATTGGAAACCATAGTGTACCAAATCAAAGTATACACTTCTACGCTACACCAGCACCAATAATAGACAATCAGAAGTTTCCATTTCCAATAAAAATGCAGATAAAACAAAAAATGCATTTACCAATGTATATGCAATTTATATTGTACATGTATGTATAAATTTTTTTACTTAGTTTGACTAAAGACATACATCTGTGATTTACGTAAGCACATACAATACTATCCCAACAAATACAAGTACACACATAGACATACACCTACCTTTTTCAACTCTCTCTTTCTTGCTTCCTTTCCTAAAATAAAATACAAATTTATCAGTTGTAATGTTACGAGTGTAAAGACAGCGGGCAGTTTGATTTATGCATGATTGGCGTAAATTGCCGTACGATTGAAATACCTATAATTTACACAAATGTTTATTATATATAGCAATTTTTGTGCAGGAAGATCCCTATTTTTTTTTGAAGAAAATCACTGTATAAATACTGGTCCCACAGTCTTGTTCACATTGGAAGTCGTGCAGGCTTAAACTAGTAAAAAATAGCCACAGAAACACACGAGAAACGCATAAATATGTTTAAAAGAACATGAATCATATGTAAAAAAAAATATAGTCACAAATTATCACCACTCTGGGCTAAAAAATAAAAAAAATATTCGAAACTGAAATTTCTATATACACTGTATCAACATTCACATGAATTATAGCTAAATGAGAGTATCAAGTACATGACAATCGTATACGAACGAAACCGAACACTGTCTTGTTAACATGACATTATCGATTTAACTCAGAATTGGGAAACTTTTGTATCAATCTTTTTGTCTTGTTTTTTTAGAATCATGTATGCATGGTTTGTGAGGTAGTGGTCAGAGGCTGGGTTACAATAGACAAAAAAATAGTTGTGTCTCTTCATTTTAGCTTTTATATCATACCCTCCTACTAAACCTGCACATATGGCTGTTTTAGGGGTGATATTCACATGAAAAGGAGCACTTTCCACATTTGCAGGCCGGTACACAGAACGATTACAAGTCGTTTGGACCCCTCGCCCTTTCGACCCCTGGACGATTAGAC